AAGAATATGAAAGTGCAAGTAGTTAAGAAAGAATTTTTCAAAAATAGTTTAGAACGAGAAATAGCTGAACAGAAAATAATTACACAATTAGACTGTATAGAACTAGGCCTTAACATTGATCGAGGATTGCTCGCACATTACCGTCAATAATTATTTCTCATCATTGTATGTATATTTTTTATATTTCTATAGCTGCCTTATTATTAACTTATTTTTGTCTCATAGTTACCTTACTGTATTTACTGCCTATTTACTGTTTTTATCATTGACTTTGACATAGACATATTTTGTATGCTATATCCCACAGTTTCTTATCATTGATCTTTTGTTCTTTTAATACTGTTTATTTAGATTGCTTATTTCGGCAGACTTGTACTTGCTTTGTACACCATTCTTTGTTGTTTTAGGACCGCCCCCTTTATTTCAGTTGTATATTATAGTTGTTTCTTATCCCATTTGTACAGTCTCCTGATGAAGTCCACTGTGTGGACAGAAGCTAGAGAATAAATTATATATTGTTAGTCTCAAAAGTGCTACTGTTTTTTACTTTATACTTTCTATACTGTACAGACTAACGCGGCTATACTTTTTATTCATCATGTCTCCAACTTGTGTTTGTTAACAATACAGCTTTTCTTCTACACTATAGTTGTACTGTAGTGGTGTTAGTATGGTTGCCGGACAGAACAGCAAAAAAACCAAAACGGCAGTAAGTCAAAACGGCAATGAGGAAAACGGCAAAAAACCAAAACGGCAAGACTTTTCAACCAGAACGACAATAAGTCAAAACGGCAAGATCAAAACGGCAATATAGGCCTATGTCAAAACGCAGACAAAATAAACTTCAAAATGCAGACAAAATAAGGCTAAACAATTTATGTCGTAAAAGTAGAAATGCACGAAAGAAAAAAATAATAATTATAAATTACACTTTAAAAAAGAAGAACAACAACAATAATAATAATGATAATAATAATAATAACAACAACAACAATAATAATAATAACAATGATAATACAGTAATAACATACAATACAATTCAATAGTAAAAAGACTGCAATAAAAGCAGTGTACATTTAAATAATTACAACCTTAAAATACAGATAAAATGAGACTAAACAATATTATGCCATGAAAGTGTAAAACGAGGAAAAAATAATAATAAATAACACTTTAATATAATATAGGCCTAGTCATGGATGTGTGAAAAAAAACCAAAAAACATACCAACAAAAAAAAAAAAACACGATTCAGAAAATTATAAGCTGCCCATGCCCGGTGGCGCTTCATTCTTGTCATTGATTTTGCACCTTTGCCGTTTTGGTATTGTCATTGCCGTTTTGATCTATTGCCGTTTTGGTAATTGTTTTTGCCGTTTTGGTTAATTGCCGTTTTGGTCATTGGCATTTTGGTCGTTGCCGTTTTGGTTTTTTGCCGTTTTGACATGCTCCCGTTAGTATTCCTATTCAGCCTTGGGCTGCTACCTCTTTCTTTTTCAATTTTAGAGGATTTTTTAGAGATAATTTTTGTTTTTCAGTGCAACGTGGTCTATCTATAGGGTGTGCACTCCCCAAAAAATATGTCATTTGATTATTTTTTTATTTTTTTTATTTTATCGATCAAAATGCATGGATCATCTCAGTTGCTGATACTATCTATAATAGCGGTTAGTCGGGCTTCCACAGTGACACACCTAAAAAAAAAAAATAAACATTTTGACAAAACATGAAAATCTTGAAATCTAGAGTTGGCTTATTTTTGGCAAAAAATGTTTTTTTTTTAACACTGCACAAGCACTAAATACTTGCCACAGTTACAAAGTATAAACCTTAATAAGAAACCTGTGTTCATTTATAGTAAAGCCAAAATGGGATACTTTTTTCCATGGCAAAAGCCAATAATATCTACTATTAAGTGAAGCTTCCAAAGGGATGCAAGGGGAGTTTTTACCCCACCATTCATTTGGCTCCCAATAAAAACAGGGCTTCGCACAGATCTCTAATGTAGTATGTAAAAAGTATAATACGTACTCCAAGTATTGAAATACACGCCTTCGTCATTAATCATCAGGAATGGTGTTGACATAATTAATGTCGAAATATTGAATCCCAACACGAAGGCGTGTACTTGGATTACAGCATGTTGTACTTTCTTATCTCAAGATGAAAAACTGGGGGAAAACACCTATAACCAAAGCACTTTGAGTACATTATTTTTATATTACAGTCGACTCCGCCTAAGTCGAATCTAATGGGACTGGCAGAAAAAGATCGAGTTATACAGATTTCGACTTGCAAATTTTCGGGGAAAAAAAAACATAGAACAATACTATGTGTAACTCAATGCGCACAAAATCGAATTTCACTCAAAACCGAACATTTTTTTAAGCCCCAAAATCATTCCTATACTTCTTTTAATAAAATACTTTCCTGAAAACATGAACTCCCTATTTTGAATCTCGGACGATATGTCCAATTCAGGACGGTAACACTCAACTAGGAAAACCAGACGATAGTTAAATAGACATCGTTTAACGACATGCATACCACTCGCTGTGTAAACGAGACGCTTAGCTGTACTCGCATTGCCATGGAGATTATCTGTTAATTAACATGACACGCCAGTAGACGTTTTTGTTGGTTAATTATGAAGTGAAATTTAGGTACGAATTCCAATGTTTTAATTAGTGTATATTCTTGCTTTTAATCCTTAACAACCATTTGGAATCAACCTGAAGTAAAGACGGAACTCGACAAAGCAAGTTCCTACTGGTTACTCTTTTTAGTAGACGTCCAATTCAAATTCGTTAGATTCGTCAGTGTACCTTGCAAATGCATCTCAAGATGCTATTCAAAACATGTTGCTAATTTTATTACAGAGGAAAATTGTAGAGAATAAAATCTAATTTGTTAGGTTTATTTAGATTTGACTCTAAAATAATACCATGAGGGTTTCAGGGGCGGATTTAGAGGGGGAGGGGGGCTTAACAGGCTTTAGCCCCCCCCTAAAATTTCATAGCCATTATCTTTTTAACTGCTTTTTGAAGGTCCAAATTAAAATATTGTTTAATGTTTTCTTCACACACATCATATTTATGGGCTAAAAATTTTACAGTAGTTGTTTTTCAGTGATAAAATAAAAATGAAATACGTTTTTTAACCGATCAGTGGACAAAAAACGTAGCTAAGAAAGGTGCTTTTGCCTTGCCTTCATGCTCAAATCTTGAAGCAAAGGCCGTTGTGTAGCGGTCTCAACGTTTGTATAATACACTGAACTTTTCATGTCGCGCAGGTTTGTTCTTGTCTAGTTTTTCCTTGATTGCTTGCGGTCAGAGGTATTTGAATGTTTGTAAATAAACTAATAAACTAAAATGTTCGCGTCGAGCGAGTTGTTCTTGTCTAGTCTTGTCTTGATTGCTTGTGGTCAGAGCATGGGCGTCGATTGGTGGGAGACAGGGGGGACGTGTCCCCCTACTTTTCAAAGTGGGGGGGGGGACATGGTATCGATTGTCTCCCCCCCTCTTTTCACCAATCTTCTATAATTAAAACCCCACTTTTACAAGCGAATGGAAAGAATAACAATTACGCATGACTCATGAATTTTGTCTGTTCACTTTTCTAAGTGCGGTACGTATTTTCCGGTAACCATCTCAGAAACCCACTAGATCGATTTTATGGGTGCAACGACTATCAGAGGCTAAATTTATTGTGAAAACAATGTACTGAACGTTGTTGAAATTGGAAGAATTTATCCTTATTAGGCCAGTATTTTTACAAACTCAAAAGTGCACAATTTCTAATATAAATGATTTATTCTTTTTGTATATTATTATGACTCGTACGTATATACTAGTGTTTAATATTATCTACATACATAGGATTACTGTTTTTTTCTGATTTCACGGATATGATGTCCACCTATTTCGATTAAGTGATAAGCCTACCAAAAGTTTACAAACTCCAGTGTTACGTTGACGCAGTCTCAGAATGACGCCATAATAATCAGTGGCAGATTCAAGTGGGGCCGAGCCGGCCCTAATTTTTTCAAAATTATTTTTTTAAATGGAAAAAAAACAAAGGAAAATTAGAATTAGAATTTAGGTCTGAGAGTGCCATTTCCGGCAATCTAGAGGTGTCATAATCATAAATTTTCTTACCTCAGCCCCAATGATGGTGGGGCTGAGGTGGTAGTCCAGCTACACTCTCCATCTGTAAAAGTCCCTCTCTGGGCCCAGCTCTATTTCAAATTTTTTTTTAAATTTCGTATTTAAATAAATGTTAATTGCATTGCTTAAAATCAATTAAAAGGCTATATGCACCAGAGCTTCCGGGGTTATCGCCCCTGGTCCTTAACCATTGCTTGGGCCTACGGCCCAAGGCTTTATTTTTCATCTCGTCCCCCCACTTTCAGCCATAATGATTTACTATAAATATTGTTTAACATTTACGGAAATAAATGTTGTTTAATGAATGAATAATTATTCAAATCCACTTGCACTTGACAACAAAAACTAGGCATCAGTTATTAATTTTAATGGTGTCTACCACATATTTCTTCTTCAATTATATGCAGATACTAAATAAAAGCTCCATCGTACAAGTATATTTATTCAGTTTGTTTTCAACATAATACTATCAG